CTGCAACAAGAATACGCTCTCACATACGTCTTCCCTGTTTCTCAACCCTGGTCATTTGTACGGTGGGGGTAATTTTCAGTACAGTGAAGCTCAACTGAATACATAATACAGGAACACGCATGATAGCACCAACATTTTGAGTATATTGTTTGAGAACCGATTGACAACACCTGAATGATTTTCACATAACTTTAAGGCCTCTTGTTCCGAAATGGTAGCCCATATAGACAATGACAAAAACATTCTGTTCTCTTGTTCCTCTAATTCTTTTGGGTAGTGTATTCAAAACCATGAAGAATTTACTGCAAATGCAAAAGTTGAAAAAATGCTTTGCTGACTACAGACATGCATGGAAGTTTGGTCGGCCCGGCTGGCCGGGCTGCTAAGGATTCAAAGCTGAGAAACCATCATGCAGGCTTGTGTTGTTCGTAACATAAAAGCCAACATCATATCTTGTGCAAAATGTTACCGATGCCAGTGATCGACCCATGTTCTCAACAATGTGAAAGGTGGAACAGCGTCTCGTAATGCACTGCCTCACAAAAGATATCCATGCCGGTGTCAAGGTTTATCCGCTCTGTGCATTTGCTTGGTGAGGAATTTACACAAATATTTTACTGTAAAGTGACACAAAGACCCGATCTCATTTACTTCTGCCCTCAGTCCTTAAACAGACGCACTACATTTATACAGACTGAAATTTAAGTCTAATGGCCGATGTGAAACATCAGATATCTTAAGTAATCTTTCCTGGACGGACTCATAAACCTTTAAATTTATTTTCACCGCCCCTGCGCGCATTCACGGTATGCAAAAATGTCCAAAAATATTATTCCACAAAAACTGCATTTATCTGTTCATCCCATTAACTCGGACTTGGTATTACAAGTGCCCACATTGTGTACCACCGTAAAACAATAACAGAGTCATTTATTCTTTTTTCTTATTTCATTACATTTTCACCCACAACCTCCTAAATTTTTTTTAGAGTACCATGGCACGCCATAATCACTTAAGTTAAGTTACACCAAAAATATAGGCTTCGTATATGCAGTTTCCCGGGGAGGGGGGCTATTTCAAGTTTCCCGGATCTTGTTCCAGCTCGACTGGAGAAAAAAATAAGGAGAAAAAGGGATCAGAATACATTGGGACTGGCAAACATATGGACGCGGAAAAATTGAGACTGTGGGTAACATGGGGGCCTTGCGAGTCGCAGCCTGTGTCTGTGTTGATTGTATCAACTGTACTGACACTGTAAGATCAAATTGTACATGAGCCATTTAGATGAAATTTAAAGCTAGTGCATGACCCGCCCCCGTTTGATAGAGGCAAGTGGCTGCCTCGCCCCCGATAGATGGAAGCGAGTTCATTCACAGTTGGTTCGTACAAGAAATCTAAATGCGTGCGTTGACTATGCACCCGTTTGATGGAGGCGAGTGGCTGCCTCGCCCCCGATAGATGGAGGCATGTTCATTCACAGTTGGGTTGTACAAGAAATGTAAAAGTGTGCATTGAGTACATGTATGCCCCGATTGATGGAGGCCAGTGGCTGCCTCGCCCCCGATAGATGGAGGCATGTTCATTCACAGTTGGGTTGTACAAGAAATGTAAAAGTGTGCATTGAGTACATGTATGCCCCGATTGATGGAGGCCAGTGGCTGCCTCGCCCCC